AGGCTTTATTGGCAGTTGAACCTTCCTGGAAGTGGCCACTGACAGCAGGTAGCAGCAAGCTTTGGTGTGTCCTGGCTTTTTGCAGAGCTACCCCAGACCCTGGTACTTGTGGCCGCCATCCTCAGTTCCCGGTGTGGCCTCCTGTGTTGAGACAAAGAGATTCTAATATGTTACCAAATAATAGAAGCCACCATCAAAAGTCACCACCACCAACAACAAAAAAAGTCACCAACAGCTCTTCTAGGGATAAAAGGGACAGAGAGACTCTATTACTACCAACTATCACCCTGGCATCCCCTTTCCTCCCAACCTACATAAGGAGCTTTACTGGAGAGTATCAGCTTTGAACAGAGCACAGTGTTCAAGATAAGATGCACCTCCCTTCCCATTTCATGGGGTAGAGGAATAATAGCTTTGCTGGGTAGAGTAATCTTGGTTGTAGGTCCTTGCTTTACATCACTGAATATTTCCTGCCAGTCTTTTATGGCATGCAAGGTTTTTGTTGAGAAATCCGTTGACAGTCTTATGGGAGCTTTCTTATAGATAATTAACTGCTTTTCTCTTGATGCATTTAAGATTCATTCTTTGTCTTTAACCTTTGGCATTTTAATTATGATGTGCCTTGGTGTGGGCCTCTTTGGGCTCAATCTGTTTGTGACTCTGTGCTACCTGGGTTTGTGTGTCTATTTCCTTCTGCAGGTTAAGGAAGTTTTCCATCATTATTTCTTCAAATAGGTTTTCAGTTTTTTGCTTTCTGTCTTCTTCTTCTGGTACCCTTATGATACAAATGTTGGTATGCTTGATGTTGTCCCAGATGTTTTATAAACTATTCTATTTATTTATTTATTTATTTATTTATTTATTTATTTATTTATTTATTTATTACTGCAGTTTTCTTTGGGTGTTTTCTGCTACTTTGTCTCATAAATGAAGGATTTGATCTTCTGTTTCATATATTCTATTGCTGATACATTCTAACATATTCGTCATTTCAGTTATTGTATTCTTTGTTTCTGACTGGTTCTTTTTTATGGTTTGCATCTCATTTTTTATGTTTCCTTTCTCTTTGTTGAAGTTCACCTAGAGATCACTGAATATCCTTATAACCAGTGTTTTGAACTAAATATCTGGCAGATTTGTTGCCTTCATTTTGTTTATTTCTTTTTCTGGAGTTTCCTACTGTTTTTTCATTTGAAACATGTTTCTTTGTCTCCCCACTTTGGCTGCCTCTCTGTGGTTGTTTTTACATATTAGATAGATCTGTAACACCTCTCAGTCTTGGCAGGGTGGTCTTCTGTAGTAGGTATTTGGTGGGGCCCAGTGGTGCAGTCTCCCTGAGCACCTGAACCAGGTGCTCCAAAATTGTCCCTTGTGTGGGTTGTGTGTGCCCACTTGTTATAGTTTAGCATTGGTTGCTGCTGGCATGTCAATGGATGGGACTAACCCTAAGGCTGACTGACTGTAAGGATTGGCCAAAACAGAATAAGAGCTGCTGTGCGGGGCTGATCCCACAAACCACAATTCATCCCAGCAGGCTCTGGTACCTGCTGAGACCACCCTTTGGGCATGTTGTTGTGGAGTTACCTCATTGGTGCTCTGTTGTGATCTGAAGCCGGCCACTGCATGTGTTGGTTTTGGGGCCTTGTCAGCTGGGCTTCTGTGCAGGCCTAGGTCAGCTGCTGTCCCTGACAAGCAGGGGCCACCTGCTAGGAGCTCCAAAGTGATCCACATTTGGTTGCTGTCTGTGCTGGACCTGTTGGCTGGTGGGAGAGAACATGCTGAGAACCAAAGTCAGCTGGTACCAGCACCAGAACTAGAGCAGCTTAGAAAAAGATACAGGTCACCTTAAGCCATGCTGGCACCAGCTGGCTGCCCAAACAACTGAGTTGCTGAAAGAGTCTTGGGTGGTAGGCGAGTTGGGTGAGGCAGAGTCTCAAAGAGTCATCAAGGTGGGATGAGTGGTGTTCGCCAGCTTAATGCAGATTCAGATTTGGCTGCAGTGTTGAACCTGGGCACTCAATAATAGGCTCAGGAACACCAAAGCCAACCACCACTCACCTGGTGCCAATGGACTCCCAGAGTTGTTCAAGAAACACTGCAGTGACAGGTCAACACTAGCTGGAACATTTCTTCTGATTTTGAGCCTCCATTCATGGATTTGGGCAAGCCTCTTTCTTGTCTTAATCCCTTCTACCATTCTGGACATGGCTCCCTCTTTATAGCTTAGTTAGAAGTCTTCTGTTCAGTTAATCATCAGATGGTTCTCCAGGTTGATTATTCTATAATTTAATTTAGTTGCAATTTTTTGTTGTTGTTGTTAGCTAAGCCATCCTGCCACCTGTTGGCAACTCAGTGGCTGCTCAGCTCAGGCCGGGACTCGAACCACTGTTGCTCAGAGCTCAAACTCTTGAGCGAGCTCTTAACCAACTGAGCCACTCAGCTGGCCCCTTAGTTGTAATTTTAATGTGGTCATGGGAAGAGGCAAGCACAGAAGTTTTCCTACACCACCATCTTGACTGCAACTCTCAAAACATTGTAAAGTTACACTTGAAATGCAACATATTATTTCATGTAACTTAGATCTAATAAAATTGATATAAAAATATTGTGGATAACAATGTTTTCATTCCAGATTTCATGATAATCTAGATTTCATAAAATAGCACTTCCTTTAACTTAATAGTTAGGTATTTCTGTTTTAATTTGGATTGAAAAATAAAAGGAGAAGCAGAGGGTGGCAGAAGATAACAAGATGTAGTATGTAGGATTAAAGTTCACTTCCTAAATTGGAGAGCCTTCACATCCCAGGTCCTCCGTTTACTATCTCTGTGACCTTGAAAAGATTTCTGAGCTTCTATCTCCCTTCTGTAAAATAGGAGGTAAGGGAATTAATAATCTCTCATAATGTTCACCTTTTTTTACAAAATGAACATTAAGTAGATTATGTACATGAAGTTCCTAGAACATGTTAAGTGTTCGGTGAATTTTAGTATTTTTATTATTAGTCATAAGTGGTCATTTAAAGGATCTCTAGGCCCTTTAATATAAGCATGGGAGGTGATCTACCTGGTATGGTGGTTCCAGGTTATTTTCTTTCAGTTTGGCACTGTGAGGGACTGAAGGTGAGATTGGAGGTATAAAGATAGCTTTCTCCTAATCTCACAGACTCGCTAGTGACCATGAATCATGAGATATAACATCTCATCACAGAAGTTATTTATTATAGCTGTTGCCTGGGCAAATAATACTATTAATAGAATGGATATATTCTTTGTCCTAGTGAAATGTTACCTAGATCATAACCAGAAGCCTGAATAAAAGAGAGTAGACTTTAAAGCAAAGTGTTTGAAAACATGAATTAGAAAGGAAAAGAGACAGAAAAAAACGCATAGGCTCCAGTATCACCATGAAACATTCTGTGTAACGATATATATCTAGTCTCACACAAAGATACCAAGCCCTATCAGCATTTTAATTTAAAATATATTTTCTTCATTTGAGAAAGAAACATAGATATTCTATTTTTTAATGTAAATCTAAATCTGAAAATAAATTTACATGCCCAAAAATTTCTAGGGAATAATTGAACAACTTTTATTAGGAGGAAATAGGCTATCTTAAACACATGTAGTGGCTCAACTTAGTCTACGTAAGTGTGAGCAGGATATGATCTAACGACTTGATCCATCCCTTCCCACCAAACCAATTTCCTGTTCTGAGACAGCTGCATTGCCAGTCTCTAACAATTCTAGGTGGAGCTTTACACAAAACTGAGTAAGACTAGTCACAGCCTCAGAGACAATATTTTCTTACAGGCAAAGGTGCCAAATGACTCTTCTCAGCATATGATGGGTACTAATGGCCTCTCTCTTCCTTGATAGGGACAGTTGCTGATCGTGAGATTGAGGACAGTCTAGGATTCAGGGTAGATAGTGGGGAGGGGCAGAGGGGATGAACAATGGCCAAATGTGACAAACACTCCAGGAAAATCTGAAAGAAGAAGATAGGAACCAGATTTTGACTCCTTCTGCCTTCACTGAAGATTTAACTCCTNAGAAGGATGAATAATTTTAATTTTATTCTTCCCCATTTTGTTAATAACCATTTTGGGGAAAAACCAGAGAAATTCCTTTCTGCTTATTCGTACCTCCCCTGTCAAATATCTTCATTTTATTTCCCTTTCCAAATCTCTTCCCATCCCTTCTTTTCTTCTAATGTCCTCAATGCATATCACCCTTAGGCATGGGCATGAAGACAAGTAAATATGTGTTTAAAGGGGCTCAAGTGGAATAGGAATAAGTAGCATTCAAGTTATTGGTTCCTATATCAAATCAGAGGCATACAACCATGTCCATCAGGAGGATGCTTAACACATCATTTCAGGAGCCAATATGGGAGAACTGAATATCAGGCGACATGATCTTAGACTGGATTCCAATTTTATCTTTTCCTGTCAGGCTGAGCACAGCAGTATCAGACAACTGCTAAGTAATTTTTGTCATATAGTTTGCAAATATTTTCTTCCACTGTGTCACTGGATTTTAAACTGAGTTTACAAAAAAAACATCTTTCTTTGACCAGAAAAAAAGTTTCTAAATTTAGAATTTATGTGTTGTATTACTGCTTTTGACTCATTTGCTCTGTTTGGACATACAGCTAGTAATTCTCTTCTCCTGCAACCCAGGGCTCAACATAGGTGTCTTCGATTAAAGGACATTTCATACAGTGCAATGGTGGGTTTTGCCATGTACCACAATGAGGGATGGTTACTCTCCTGTGGATGGTTTTCCTTATTCTGACTCACTCAGACATAATTTAAGTTTGAACCTTGAAAACTATCTCAGGGTAAACCCACTGGATTATAGCTGGACATTGGAGAAAACCTTTATATCCTGTTTCTAAGTGGAGGTTTCATCCTCTTGTTGGTAGTAGGCTCAGCTTAGAAACTGCTCTGTCTTCAGCACATGCTTGCCTGGGGCACACCCAATTGAAAGCTTCCTGGTTGAGGCTTGCTAGTAACTGTTGTGCTGAGGCTGGGACGTCCCTAGACCTGTGAACAGACATTGATCCTGAACTCTGAGACCCAGAACCCCAGTTTTCACTTGAACTATGAGACCAGTAACAGGAATAACCGTTCTCCTGACCTTGGGTAAGTGATCTGGGTCTGAGTAGGGATGCGTTTCATGTCTAAAGACAAAGGGCAGGTATGTGCTGCTTCTGCTTCTCCCACTGTTATTTTACCAAACAGCCAGAAAGAATTTGCATGTGTGTTTCTATGTGTCTTTGTGTTTCTCTAGAGTGTCTGAGCATCATTGTGAGAAGTTTGTCATATCCACTACTCACAGAACATACCCTGACCTCTCAGCTTCAGGCTGTAAGGAGATTGGGGTTCATTGAGCCAAAGGTTATGGAATATAGCAGTTTGTCATTGGCCTTGTGGCTCTGGATTGTTCAGTAACAGATACCAGTAATACTTCCGTTGTCCTGTGCAACACACATGAAAATGTTCAAATATTGGAGATGACCAAAAAGGAGACTTTCAGGAGTGCTTATGAACCTGAACTTAGATGCACCCTGATTTGACAATCCAGAGCTAATCTACTGTTTCTCAACCCACAGGTATTATGGGCGATGCAAAGTCCACACAGCCAGCTGCAGTGGAGAGTACTGAAGGACAACCTGTGCACCTGCCCTGTGACCACTCCACAATCAGTGGAAGTGACTACATATTCTGGTATCGACAGATCCCTCACCAAGGTCCAGAGCATGTGATTAACAGTGTAAAAGACAATAAGACTAATGAAATGGCCTCTCTGATCATCGCAACAGGCAGAAAGTCCAGTACCTTGATCCTGCCCCAGGTCACCCTGAGAGACTCTGCTGTGTACTACTGCATCGTGACAGACCCACAGTGGGAAGGATGGGGCTGCAGCTGCACAATATCTCCTTAGGGTGGGGAGTGGGGTGGTGGGGATGGCAAGTAGCAGCAGCATCTAAGAAGTCCTCTGTATGAGAATGAGTAGAAGCTCAATAGAAGAAAAAGATTAGTAAAGGAGAAACATAAGGATAAGAAGTAAAGAGAAAATAGTAAGGAAATCAAGGACCAAACGTTGAAAGGAGACCTAAGATGAGGAAGAAGCAATTACATTATTGAAGAGGCTATAAAGCTTTCAAGGACACCAAGAGTGGAAATTTTAAACCATCAAATGAAAGGGAAAGAAATTGAGCATTTGTCATGGCTCTTTGTTTTAATCAAATGTTTCTTTTTAACAGGTCTCACTAAAACAGGTGACAACAACCCTGTTTGCCCCCAAGTCTTGCTTCCTTTGGACCCAGGGAAGTACCCAGGCTCTGGTTATTACATCATATTAGCTATTCCAACTTCTGAAAAAACTGAAATTAATTTCAGAAACTAATTTATTTGACCTTAAGAAAAATTGGAAATTTTCTTTTTTGCTTATCTGTAGCACACATACTTAGGATAGAGATGACTTGGACAAAAGAGTAACATGGGTGAATATGTGGATATTAATTTAATTTTTAAAATTTATGTTGTAATATTTCTATTACTATACAAAAAAACCCCAAATCTTTTCTCATTGTAAAACCTTAAGATATTTAAATAAAACTTTCCAAGATCTTAAAAAAAGAACTCAAGATATTACATAAGTATTCAGGGTGAAAAAAAGTTCAAAACTGACGCCCCACCTCCATTCACTTTCCTCTTCAGCTCCTATAATACCCAAATTTGACATTTTGGAGTGTGTCCTGAGAATCATATTTCTTTTCACTTCCAAGGATACTCATATAACTATCTACCGAATCTTCTTACATAAACTGGATCATATATGTGGTTTTTGCTGGAACTTGTTTTTATTTAATTACAAAAGGTTTTAGAGATATTTCTTATTCTTAGAAGTAAAATTGCTGGGTGAAAGGTCATACCTATTTGTTTTTATATGATGAAAAGTTGCCTTCCAAATGGTTCTAAAAATCTACACTCCCAACAACAGGATATGAAAAACCAATTTCCCTACATCCTGGTTAACACTATTAGCAATCTTTTTATATTTTTAGTAATTTGACAGCATTTTGTTGATATTTTTATTCCCATTTTCCGATTACCAGGGCAGTTGCACAACTTGCCTCTTCCATTGTTACTTTCATAGATTGTCTTTCTCTTGTTTACTTATATAAATTATTTTAACAATATGAATATTCTTTGCCTTTTATAT